CGTCTGTTCGGGTTACACAGACCAATAGAATTTGCGATCAAAAATGCCGATCGACCAACTTTGAACTAGCCTATTGTTCATTTAAAAACCACTTTTTTTTTAGTCAGGTTATTGATCAGGTCACACAATTTAATTAGCCAATAATCACCGACTCAAAACCCTCCGTTAGTGCAAAATTTAAGTCGATACGTGATTGGTCTCTTTCATTACACTTGTGTTCCGGACTTAACAACGGTTTCCGAAAACGTTTCCTAGTTTATATACCACATTTTAATTTAGGAAATCAAATAATATAAAGATTTGTGTTTTTATGTACCAAAAAAAAAAAGAATTATGAATCGTATGATTTAAGCATTGCATAAGAGTAAAAGTTTTCATATCTTACATATATTTTGCTTCTACATATCAGGACGTCAAATGCGTGCTTATCCTTGCTATCCTCAAATAACAATAATAATTACTAATGTCGGAATATCATGGTCGTGACGAAATATATTTACACATTGATTTGATAATACCGAAAATTTGATAGAAAATGATGAAATTTTTATTGTTAGCCTTGACCATTCATCTCAGTTTATAGTGATGGCAAAAAATGATTTGTTTTCATGCAGTACTTAATGGCATCCTATATATGGTATTTAAAAGAAACGAGAAACTATAATGTAATACTCATTGTTTAATCTCTTGATTGATCGTCGTTTGCATATTCATTGGCAGATACAATATGATAAGATTCTTGGCTTCACATGGTCGCTGTAAAGGTTTACAGTACCAAAAATGTATTAACTTTTAATCAGTTCATATTTTTTTTATGACAATAAACTTCAGCGGTTATTATTTGCATTCAAAATATACAACGACATATCTTTGGTAAATTTTGACGCAAGTTCATTATTTATTCCGTGAGAATTATTGCGTTTGTAAGAACAGATCATGATTCAGTATATAAATATCAAACAAGAAATCATGTGTACAATAATCCTTTGTCGAAACGCATTGACAAATAAGGCCTACACATGCATTCTTCTCAATATGGTAATAGATCATGTAAGGTTTCATGAAGATTAAATAATAAGGATTTGATAATGATACATCAAAATATGGAGTTTTCAAATGTTATATATACAATGCATTTTATACGTTTTAACTAAAAGCAATTCCTTATGAACATCTGTCAAGGAATTATTTCAAAAACCTTGTTTTGGAGCTAATGAAGTTCACTTTGAACAATATGTTCTTGGTGTGATAAAGGTATAAATAAAGAAATGCAAGGATATTCACAATCGTTTTTTGAAACTTAAGTCAGGATGTTTGCCACGACCGGTTATCACGGTTATCACATACCGTCCTATTAATAGGCACGGTTAATGAAATGATTGTGATTGATTTATTGAATTATTCAAAATTTTAACCATATTAAACGTTTTAACTTGTAAAACGAGGTCAGAATTCCCTATTGTGAAACTTTTAAAACCTTAACGTCCTTGATTGTTACAATCCGTAATAAATAATATTTTTTTTTTTGAAGTTGACACTATTTGTTACATAATAGGAAAACAATAATAGATTCTTCTTCATAAATAAGGAAAAAACCTAATGGCGAATAACGAAAATATAACTTTTGTTTACTAAATCGAGATGGAGAAGAAATTCCTGCCATTTCTTTTTCATTTTTTAAACGTATAAATTTATCTATCAAAAATCGAAAAAAGAAAATTGGTTCACACGTGCTATTATTTTAAAATGAGAAACGGCATAATCCGCCTCCATTTTTTAAATTTTCTTTCTTCCTACATTTAAACCTATTTTAAACTATTGAAATCTGTTAATTAAACTTAATAATGTCCTATTTAAAATCAAAAGGCCTTGTTATTACTATATTAAGGTTGATCTTTGATCGGCAACTGAAAATATTTCCATTGTCATTATTTCGGCCGTTATTTTCATGTAACGATATTTGGTTAGATTCTGTTACACCAAATGTTGGAGTCAAACCTAAAAAAAAAAAAAAATAATATATATAAATATTTCGGAAAACAAAAAAAGTTTCAGCCAAAAAAAAAAATCATTTAAAAGCGTATGAAAAAAAAACTTTCAATCTTTCAAAAAACCCATTTTTGAATTATTTTTTTTTTGTTTCTTTTTATTCAAATACTTCACGAAATTAAATAAACTTCACACGCCATGGGTAATATCATAAGTGAACATTCACAAAAATTAAATTTTGGCGGTAAAAAACGAAGAAAATTTCATCCACTTAGACAACTTTCAACGATATCGGCTAAATCAACACTAACAGCAAGGTCATCGGATTCTACATCATCATATCGATATATTGGCGGTCGAAGATTCAATGAAAATACAAAATACTCCTTACCAAACGACGATGAAGAGATTGATAGGTTACATATGCAACATTACTTGCAAAGATACATATGGCAAGGAAACTTTTGCGCTCCTGTACATAATGTCCTAAAGACCCCTGGTGCAAAAGTTTTAGATGTTGGATGTGGACCTGGAACTTGGATGTTAGAGATGGCCTTTGATTACCCAGAAGCTCATTTTACTGGAATTGATATATCACCCATGTATCCCAAAGAGATTAAACCAATTAACGTGGAATTTGAAGAAGCTGATATAAATCAAGGGCTTCCCTTTGCCGATAATTCTTTTGACTTTGTTGTGATGAGAAATATGGTCAACGCCTTAAGTGATGAAGATTGGCAAAAAGCTTTAAAAGAATTGGAAAGAGTTTGTAAACCGGGTGGATTTGTTGAATGTTTAGAATTTGAGATCCCGGGAGTACATCTCGGAAAAACAACAAAACGTATTGTAGAAGCATGTAAGTTTGATTACGACTCGTTTATCAAAAATATCAATTATTTTTTTTTTTTAATTCTCATTTCATTTTTTTTTTTGAAACTTCCAGATATTCAAATAATGCGCACAAGGAGTATCGATGTTACAATAGCACCACGTTTGGAAGAAAGGTTTACAACATACACGACATTAATGAATTTGGAACATCACGTTAAAATGGTACCATTCGGCAAATGGGGTGATAAAACTGGTAAAATTATGGCCGACGATTTACTTTTAATAATGAAAGCTATTGCACCAATCCTTATACCATTATGGGGCGTTGGCGAAATTCAATATCAAGAATTTACAAATAGCTTAGCAAAAGAATTGGATGCGGGAAAAGCCTATTGTAATATTCATACGATTTTCGCTCAAAAATATGAACCATATCATTATATTTAAGTTTTTCGATAGATTACTATTTATGATAGCAGCATTACATAGTCTTTTCAGTATCCTTAAATTTCACAATAAATAAATCATGTTTTCATCGAGTTCAATAACGAATCAAAATAATAAACGACATATTATTAATACCTCTTTAAACATATTAAAAGTTTACACAGATTTTTTTGCATTATTTCATCTGGCGGAATTTTTGTTAAAAAAATGCACTTGTCACGGATTCATTATTTTCATGTGATAAAAAAATGGAAAAATCTTCAATGAATTTTTTACCACTGAGAGCAAGAGCGCACAACAGGTTAATTACAATAGGCATGATGAATATTATTTATTCGTTATATTTATATTTATATATATATATATATTATTAATACTTTTCTAAAATATGGATAAAAAAATGAAAAAAATCTATTGCTAATATGCTTTATATAATTTCTTTACTATACAGTAAATATACATTCTATAATAATTAAACTAAATTAAACTAAATACATATATATAATATTCTTCCGCATGTGGCAATTTTACACGGCGCCAAGTTTACATTTTCCTCATACGTTCAATTTTAATTAATGTGGCGTAGTACATCATTATTTTTGCGCCTTTCAAGTTGTTGAGGAAAAAAAAAGGGAGCGCACACTCGTTTTGAATGAAAAATGATTATTTGATCAATAGCCACCAATCAAACAATAATTCGGCAGAATGTAAATATTTGGTCGAACGGGTTGACATTTCTCGCTATTATGTATGAATGATTGTTTTATGTAAATAATACATAGAAATGAAGATAGAGAAAATATTGGTAAGCAAAGATGAAGTGAAAAAAAAATTTTTTATTAAAAATAAAAAAGGATTTCATATAGAAAAAAAGAAATATTAAATTTTTAGAGATAGAGAAACGTCATTTTTTTTTTTTTTTTTGTTTGTATTCTTTTTTTTGTTTCCCTTCATAATAATATATTATTGAATCTTAGCATAATTGTTAAAAAAAAAAAAAAAAAATGGCATTAACTTAATGAAATCATACTCATAATCTTTTTTTACTTTTTTTTTTTTTTAAAAAAAAAAATTAGAAAATTACTGTAATAAATTATATATATATATATTCCTTAAATAATAATTTTTTTTAAATTAATTTAAAATGTTTCTATAATTTTTATCTTTAATCCTTTTTGGGGGGGGTAAATCCTCTCAATTCTAGCCTGTATTATTTTTACCAGATCTATTATTTATTACTCCCGCTCGCCTCACCCAATGGAAAAGGTAATTCTACATCGCGTTCACTATTACTATTAACACTATCAACCCAATCCTCAAATTCTTGACAAAAAGGTCTAATTCTTATATACCTGACTTTAAAGTTCTTTCCAAATCTTCCTTTCGTTCTGTCGGGTGAACTTGAACCATTGTTTTCGGTATGGTCGTTGATGAGTGGTCGAATCATTTCAGTTGTTAAATTAGAACATTGGGTAATTTCCAACAACTCTAGATTTTTGCATTCTGAAATCGAAGTCCACTCTCCGCAACCTTTAAAATCAACCTGATCAAATGATATCTGCCGAAGCGTGGACGTATGCGATGCGAGTGCGGGAAAGAATATTCTTGTGTAGCCTTTACATATCGATAATCGGAAATAGCGAAGGGATCGTTGTGAGGATATTAGGGAAGCTATATATTGTCCCGTTCTGTCGATGTGCCTTTCAAAAGCGTGTCGTGACCAAAGCGTATCTATACATAAAGATTCCTAATGATTTATAAAGAAAGAGGATACCGAGTAAAAGAAAATTAATATACTTGTTTATTTTTCATTTTTTTTTCATTTTTTTTTTTTTTAAAAAAAAAAATGTCAGTACACCTACCACTTGATGGCAAATTCGTCCTAAAAGTGTAAATAAATCATCTCTCCGACATGGACCATGAATTTCTAAATGCTTTATATTTCTGACTAAATCTATTAATTCGGATTCCTCTAATAATTCGTACAAGTCAGTATCATTCTTTAGTCCGGGAAAAATCCACAAACTGGTTAACCTTGCACCGTTTTGCATGGAAAGTTGAAGTAAACTTCTCATCAATAATTTTATTTGATCGTTCAATTTCTCATCATCGGTTTCCTCATTATCTTCCTCCTCTACCGATAATAAATCCCTCAACGATCTCAATAGAGATTCATACATTAATGTTCGTAAATATTTGGGATAAGGGAACATTGGTTGAAATTGAGGGTGGGATGAATGAGTGATAAAACTTAATGCCATGCTTCCTTGTCGTTGCCTATCATAATCCTCCTCATTATCTCCTTCCTCCTCTTCTTCCTCTTCACCTTCTAATATTCTGTCAAATTCAATCCCATTCTCGATCAAATTATCTCTGACATTGCTATTTAAGCACTTTAAATACATTAAAGTTGCCATCGAACTTCTTTCGGGCCCGAAATGAAACGGCTGTTTCCATAGGATAGGAATTGCGATTCTACACCATTCCCGGTTAACCAAAATGCATTGATATAAATTCTTTAATCCTACATTTTGATATTCACCGGAAATTGGATCTATTTCGGATAGATGTAAAAAAACTTCGTGAAGAATGTCTGGTAATAGGATGCTCATGTTTTTTTTTATTATAGGGAATGTTAAAGATTAAGTAAAGCGTTTAAATATTTTTTTTTTTTTGGAAAAAAAAAAAGAGGTCCTTATTTGAAAGGAAATTAAAAAAAAAAATTAAAATTAAAGTTGCGAGTATTGTAAAATGATGATTGTGCGCTTGAATTGGTAAGATTTTTTTTTTTTTTTTTTTTTTAATATTTGTTGATATTAAAATTTTAAATAATTATGTATTGTTGCAAATAATTTTTTTTTAAAAAAAAATAAAAATAAAAATCGAAATAAAATTTAAAATAAAAAATGTTGCTTTTTCAAGGGGGTTGGGAGGGTTGGTAATATTTTTTTGTATTTGTTTTTATTAATTTTTTTTTTTGATTATTTCAATTTCAATTTATATTTGTGTATATTAATTATTATTCTCTCTCAACTCTTTTTTTAAATGAAATCTTTTTTGGAAGAGATGATTTTTTTTTTGAAAATTGAGGATGGAGTTAGGGTTTATATTAAAAAAAAAGAACCCAAATCAAGATAATAAACAAACAAGAACTTTAAGGTTTTTTTTATTTTTATTTTTTTCTTTCTTTATTCACAATCAGAATTAACGTAATATGTTTGGTCGGGCTACTTTTTTTTTTCTTTTTTTTTTGTTGTTTGTGGTGGTGGTTGTTGTTGTTTGTTTAGGAGTAATTAAAATGCAACCAGTATATGACCGTCGTTTCGGTAAAAATTGATTGATATTAACCCCCCGGGAACAAAGTTGTGGCTTGAAAATATTTTAGGTTAATACGAACGTCAAAAATCTATAAAAGGTTATATAAATAAATATATATATTCACTTTAATGCATGGTGTCAAAATGGGAAACAAAGATCTTGAAAGGAAAAAAAATATTTTTTTTTTTTCTAGTATCGAGCTCAAACGTTTTTTTTTTTCCCCCTCCTCATTTGATTAGTCGAAATCCTTTCAATATGGACCATCTTGTTTTCCTAAATGGATCAACAACAATTACTTATGAAAAAAGGAAAGCGTGTGTTTATTAAAACAAAAATAAAAATGCAGAGGAGAAATTGCCATAAAGAACGGTTTTGAAGATCAAACAAATCACATGAATAGACCATAGTTGATTCGTTAGGCGTGATCGAGTTAAGCGTCCTTGGTTATATATCGTGTTACGGAAAACAAACCGACGATTTCCAATTAAGACGATTTAAACAAGGACATTCCTTTCAACAAAGACTTGCATTTTTGAATAACCTTGTATGAGGGCCCCATCATTTACCGTTATTAAACAACGAATTCTTGTAGTATGATGCGTTTGTCAGACAAAATTTACCAACAACGAAGGCAAAACAAGCAAAACTTCATCCACAAGAACTTATGCCATGCCAGTAAATTGATGAACCGATTACGATATCATCATCGAGTAGCGTGTGGTCGAAATTTTGTCGAAACGAATTTTTTCAAACCTTTGTTTTTATTTAAGTTTGGATTACCTAAAATGCGGGTGATTATCGATGATGATTGATCACGCACATTAAATGAAAGGAATGTGGTCGTTATTAGATAATCTTGTACTTTTAAATGTTGCGTTTCGAATGTAGATAGATGCTAACGTCTTTATGGGGATGTATCACTAAATGTTAAAATATTGTCAAATAAAAAATAATAGTAATAATAATTAAGTAAAAAAAAAAAAAGGACTCCTTGTTTTAATGTATAATGATATGACCTTCAACTTGGGAGGAAAATAACGAAAACTATCAAAAAAACCCCCATTTCCCGCCAAAAATTTAAAGTTAATTCCTATAATGGAATGAATGTATTAAAGTAAAATTAACATCTAATTAAAAATAAAAACGTGCTCACAAACTTGTTTAAGATGTGAGACATTTAAAATATCCTGATGATAATATTAGAGATGGATAAATTTAAAAATGGATAGATCGTAATTAAAAAAAAAGCTAAAACTTAATTCCTCCTGCCATATAAAGACAGAATGCTAATATAATAAACGGTTGTATCCATGTTGCAATTTTCCTTTCTTGTGTTCATCGATGATTCATCAAAAGAAATCTCCATTAGCTTTTCTTGTAACATATGAAACAGGTTTACCAAGTTTGACATATTTAACAAAGTTAACAGGTTTTTATCCTTAATATATATATAAAAAAATTTTTTTTTGTGTACGTGGAGCCTCTCTTCTCTTTACTTACCAAGCGATAAATGCAATATGAAGAAAGGTTTATTGTGTACTGTATATCGTAATTTATATTCGTTGAGATCGTAAGGCCGTAAGCCACTAAGCTACGCAATCGAATAAACGAAGTACGACCCCCCTTATCTTGGCAGCATAAAGATAAAATCTTTCTGATCATGTGAGTTTTTAAATTGTACGATCGCCAGTGACTGCGGTCAATCGGTCAAAGTTCAAAAATAAAAGAAAAGCTTATATTACAATTTTTTATTGAATCTCTGAAAATAACATAAATTCAAATTTAAAACATATATTATAAATTACATAAGAAAATAATCGTATGAATATTATTACAAAATGAAAACTATTCTTAAAACATAAATGATAATTATCGTTATGGTTTTTTGTTTTCAAGCATTTTTGCCAAGAAAAAACCCAGCATAAAGCAAGCCAGTATAAGGATTATACAAATCCAACATATGAAAGCTCCAAAACTGATTCTACATTTTGGGAGGCAAGGAAAACATTTGCATTTTCTTTCTAAAGATTATGTAACAGAAAAAAGGAAGGTTAGAATGTCATTATGTAAGTTAGAAATTTAATATATCTACTCACCCTTCTTTTGTCGCGGTCCTTCTTCCAACTGCAAATGACGATGAAGAAAAATTTTAATATTTTGCGAGATTTAAAGTGAATAATATTTTGAAGTAAAAAAAAACCCCCGTACCTCTATATTAAAGATTAAAAAAAACAAACGAGCGAATCGATTAAAAAAAATTTTATCAAATAAAATGTAATCGACAAAAGAATTTAGGTTTTAAAACTCACCCCCACCGTACCCGCTATCAATTCCGCCACCAAATTCATTCGAGACCGAATTGATACGATTCTTTGATGACATGGCAACGACATTCTTGGCCTCGTTCGGGATTTCGATATTAATGGAATTGTCAATTGTCACTTTTACATCCTTTCTCTCGACTTTTTTTAAATAATTCTCATTAAAAGTCGTCATCTCGAAATCTCCATCGTACACCGGAGTCAAATTCATCCTGCCCAATATGGACAATACATCGTCGACAGTTGGTCTTGCCATGGGATCATTATCCCAACATTGTTCATATAAATCGATGTACTCAATGGGTGTGCCTAGGGTAGGTTTGTCTCTTGTCCCTGATAAAATTTTTTTAGCCACTTCAACATTATGACGAAGCGAAGAGAAAGGAGCTTTCTCGCTTGATATTTCATACATTAATAATCCTAAACTATATATGTCTGATCTTTTGTCACGTGAATAATTCGGGTCGGCTAGAAAATTTGGCTCCATGTAGGGCAAAATTTCGATGTTTTCTGGTATTGAAGCATCCTTCATTTTTGAAAGCCCCAAGTCTCCTATTAACATTCTACCATTATGAACCAGAACGTTATGTGGATGCTATGATATCAAACACGAAAAGGTGAATAACACGCTGGTGAATATAACGAAAAAACCGAATGATATGAACAATTTACCAGGGACGTGTGCACGATTCCATGACTGTGTATGCATTGTAGACCATTTGTTACGTCGATTGACAACTTCATTTTATCATGCCAGGTGAGTTTCTGATAATTCTCTTTTAAAAATTGTCGTAGGTCTCCTCCGTTGGCAAATTCCATTACCAACAAATAATCTCCTTCATCCGCTTCTCTGCTGAACCCAAAGATTGTTAGAATGTTTTGATGGTAACTCAATTGATGAAGTAACTTTAGCTATTAGCATAAAAAGAAGGTTAATCGACGGTTTAGAATTATGTTGTTTTTTTTTTTTCACTTGCCTTTTCGATATCTAAAGATTTCACCTTCTTTAATATAACGTAAGCACTCGCGTCCTTCCAAAATGCTTTGATCATTCCATTACTCAACGTAGTTATGTCTTTGAAAGAAGAGTAATTGATAAATTGTAATTGCACCTTGCTCGTTTCATTATTTTCATATTCACTTGAATTACTTGAAATTGAATTTGAATTAAGATTTTCTTTGTTTGATGAATTAAACGAACTTGTGCTTGTGAAGGACATTGAAATATCTGCTGATTTATTTGATTCCATAACTTAAAATTTTTTATTTTAAATTTCGTTCGTGCGTTAATTTCGTTGTTCCGAGGGAACAAAGGAAAAAAATTTTTTTTTTTAAAAAAAAAAAATAATTTTATATCAAATGACAAATGACAAAAAAAAAAAAAAATAATGATATATGTATATATATATTTCCTTTTTTTTTCCTACAGAAAAATCTCTTCAATACCAAAATGCGTAACCACTATATATATTTATATTTTCCTGGAAAATTATTAAATAATCGTTTTATTATACAAATAAAACTAAAATGGGCCCAGTTGATATACAAAATCAGGTTCGAGTCACATCAAATAGGGAAATGAAAATCTGTCTTACAACCGAAATTTAATGGTCTAGAGGAGCTTTTTTTTTTTTTTTTTTTTTTTTGATAAGAACGTATACTGTGTTATCGTTATTGTGAGATTACGAGATTATTATTCAATGATTTTTCATTACTTGACTGCTTCAAAGAAATTTCGCCAAGATGTATATCTTAATATAAAATTATTCTTTTGGGTGAAATTTCCACCAACACCAAACAAATCCTTCTTTAAAATGTTAATTAAAAGTTTTTTTTTTAAAAAAAAGAGAAAAGATAAATAAATAAATAAGGAAATATAAAAAAATACAATTTGTCATTTAAACTCATGAGGTTGAAGGATAAAATAAAATAAAATAAAATAAAATTACATTTAAAACTTGGCCATTGAAGCTAGTTGGATGGATCAATGTAATTAATATTTTTTGGGATACGTTGTCCAGATTTTCCATGCTTACATGAGAAAAAAACGGATTTAAATTATTTTTTAAAAAATTACTTGGCCAGCAAAGCAATTAAAAAAAATATTTATATCATTTAAAAAAACCAGAACAAGAACAGGGAATCATTTTATTAAAATTTATGCATTGTTGTACTTTTCGCTTTAAATTGAAAATAATTTTTTACCAAATTCGTAAAACAAAGTTGATCATTTGACTATAAAAGGAAATTATATTTTAAAAGTCAGTGTTATTCACCTCGAATGTAAAGAAATTGATGATGAATTATCAGTTACTTCAATTACTGATAAAATTCTTGTGCTCACAAATAATAACGTAAAAAGGAGAGTACATTGCGTTGTTTTTCATATTTAAACTGTTAACAATGGTAAAACGGTACATAATTTGCTTATTATTAGATTCCCCGATTTGGGAGAATATTTATTTTCTTTTGACTGATTCAATTTCCTTTCTATGTAATCTAATTTAGTGACTATTAATATCAATATTAATAAAAAAAATTTTAGAGGAAATTTGTGTGGTCCAACGGATAAAAAAATGAACCACTCAAATCGAAAAAAAAAAAATATCAGATGCTATGAAACATTATTATACATTAAGTGTTCTCCCTTTCTAGCTTCTTCCGATTTTTCCGAAAATTGTTCCATGACCAAATTTTCAAACCAATCGAACCAAAACCGATTTATCCCAAACTTAGACTCTTGATATGCCAAGAAAAAGAAAAAGGAAAAAAAAGAAATCATAATAATAAAATAATTTTATTTTTTTTAAAAAAGGAAAAAAAATTTATTTTTTTAATTAAAAAAATACGTCGAATTAAAACATTTGAAAGAGAAAATCACCTCATTATTCGATCAGAGTTACAATCTTTTTTTTAGGTCACAAGATTTAAGATAAAATGCAAACTGAAATAAATAATAATAAATAATTCTAAATTTAATGTGATCACGCTTGTCACGCTGTTTACAAATAATTAAAGTTTTTTCGATTTGTAACGTAACCTAATTTGGAAAAAAACATTTGGTTGTTTTATCCTTTTCAAAAAACCCGTCAATTTATTATTTATTTAGAACTACTTTTGAATAATTTCATTTCATTTTTAATATTTTCAATATTAATAGGAAAAAAATTTTTTCTTTCGGTGAAGGCAAGGCGATCATATGATAATTAGATGTATTAAGACGATATTTTTATTTGCACGATTTGCACGATCGATCCGCATGGCTAAAAAAAAAAAAAAGAAATTTCCTTTATTTTGTACAAAATTATTAGTCCCGCATATATTTAATCAAACATAACATAAAAACAATAATTCTGCGTAACAGAAACGATTACATGGTAATTAGATTGTATCGATCTTATTGAATTTGATCTCATTGATTAAAAAAAAAAAGATTTTCGGGAAAGTTCCTCATAAAATAAGGGTTCTTGTCAAAAATATTCGGTTGTTTTAACGGATGACAAAATTAAAATAATCAATTTACGATCTACGCTTCTCGCTATTCTGATATTCACGTGACTACTTTTACTTAATTTTATATATAATTTTTTTTCTTATGCGCAATTTGATATTTTTATTATTATTATTATTATTATTGTTATTTTTTAATTTTAGAATCTAGAAGGAAATTTTCACAACATATCAAGATTCATCCGCAGTTTCGTAAATATACCTCGTCAAAGATTTAATATTTTACCTCAAAAAAAATTTTTTTTGTTAATTATTATTTTAAACAATTTAGTGATCTTCTTTTAACATAAGGATATCCGATTACGTCTTCAAATCTTTTAAATTTATAAAATTTTCCTGTAAAGGAAAATTTTGTTTTCGGTTTATCATTATTCCAATCTATAAAAATAGAAAGTAGGGATGAAGGTTTAGTTATACGTTTCTCTCACATAAATCAAAATAGATCAAATGATTCTCACATAATTTCTCAAAAATTTGAAAACGAACCAGCAAGACAATCCAAAGCGTCCACCAATTCCAACAAAACTATTCCTGGTACCTTTAAATAGATCAATTCTATTCCATTACAAGGAGCCAAACTAGCGTGTACTGTAACATCACCACTTGAATTCGAACCCGAAGAATTAATATCATCTCTTCCCCTCTCTCTCAAATTAACCCCATTGTTACCCTTACTGTTATTATTATTACTTATTCGAAGTCTGAATATATCATCAGCGAAAACGTCAGTACAAGGAATTAATTTATAACCCAAAATCATTCCCATACCAAATTTTGCTTGTTTAACCTCGCAAACATTTTCGTCTGGGAACAATATAGTTGGAATATATTCTTTTGTGCGCCAACCAAATGGTAATGAGTTCGGTAATTGCTTTACTGTTATTTCCAAATAAATTGCACAGCATGTTTCTCCCGGATTCATCATTTTAGGTAATCCTTCTTTTGATTCATCTTCGGTATCTGACGATGATGATTTTTCTAAAATTTTAAACGTACTTGTATTTTCAAATTTTTCTAATTTAGCATGAAAATAACTTTTTTTATATGTAAAATCCATTCTTATCTTTTTTTTTTTCGAAAGAAAGAAGATTAATAAAATTACACAATATTGATTTAATCATTAATTTTGAATACATAATTACTTCGAATTTTAGATCCTTTCCGAATCTACCTTGTATGTCGTCATTGATCACGATGGGAATCAACGCACTCCATTTTCTACAAGTCCTTCGAGTGCTCCACAAAGCACTGTAACTAATAAAAAAAAAAAAAAAATGGGTGGTTCAACGTCAATAATCTAGAAGAAGAAATTTCTTTTCTTTTAAATGAAAGGGAATAATACGAACCTATCACTATTATTAACATGCAAAATGTAATTTAATATTTTCAATAATAATTCGTTAGGTAAATCTGATAAAGTCATAACCATTTTTTCCGGAAAAGTGATGTAAGGATTGCAGGCACCCTATTTATGTTAAATGTTCGCACATCAGATGATCAAAGTACCGTTCAAAAATTATGACGTATATGCACAAATTCGGGTAATACACACTTTTTTTGCCGCGTTTTAAAAATTTTTTAATTATGATTAAATCAAGTATTGCGCAATAATATACAGTGGAAAAAAAAAAAACTTTTTAAAAAAAATATAAATGAAATTGAAATTTTTCTAATCGATCACATTAAACCAAAGGAAAATAAAATTAAATGAAAAATTATATGTAGATGTGTATATATAATGATAATATATCTATTTGCAATTATCACGGCTCCACCGTGATGATGAATATGATTTTTAAATATTAAAAGAGAGAAATAAAAAGAGTGAATATTCACGGTGACTAGTTAAGACATAAATTATCCTTCAGCACCGCTCAAACGCGAACGCATATCCTCATCGTTATCTACCCAGCCGAAATTGAGATTCATTCAGTTTCTTCTTGTTGCCAAGATTCATCATCAGAAACAACTTGAACAACACCAATTTCACCACCATGTTCCGTTAATGTAGAATGTTCATCTGAAGTTTGTGGCATCATTTATGATTTGACCTTGTTGTAATGGTGAAGATCTAAACTCTTTATTATTTTTGGAATTTTCAGCAAACGTTGAAGATGGTGATGGCATAGGAGCTAATGAGTCCATCGACAAATGATTGGATGAAGTCGGAGTTGCAGGCGGAATTGTAGACAATGATCTATGTGGATTTATATATGCTCGTTCAACTTTGACGTCTTGTCTCGTTTCAACTACAATTTGATTCATAAATAAATCTTCAACTCCACTTGGTCCTTTTTTTGCTAATATTTCAGCAATGTCGACACCATTATTTGGTTTTGATACGTCAAATGGCGTGGAAATCGCTCTTTGCCTTTGCTTGATTGTAAAATCCGGATTAACGATTAATATAATGCAAATATATAATATGAATCCACCAAAATTCACATGAGCGGTCAAGAGGTCACTTATAAAACGCGTTAGGTTTAAGGATATCAACCCATCGAAACTTAATATTATATAACTTGCTGACCAAATGAAAAGCGCAAAACTAAACCATATATTTAAATCTCCAAAGTATTTTAATTTTTCTTGATTATGTATTGTATGTCGAGTATTTAAATTCAACAATTTATTAACCTCAAAATTCACGCGTAATCCACCAACAAAACATATTATTAACGCTATAACGCTAACCGAAAGGCGAGGAATATTCTCTTTAAGTTTTGGATTGTCAACCAATGCATCGAAAACGTAAGCGAGGATGGGAAACCTATAGAAACGAATCCGAATTAAATAAAATTTTGTTCAAAGGCGCAGCAAACATGTTTAAATTAACTTACACCGGAAGTAATAAGATGCCTAATACCAAATATATCCAATACTCCCATATGCTAATATAGTTTTTCCTGGAAATTTGTTCCATGACATAACTCCAGAAAGCCTGTAAAGAAAGAAGGCTCGCTCTAAATTAAATTACAATTAATTGGTAAGTTGTGGCGCAGTGATTAATCCCGTACCACATTAAAAAACTTGTAATGTCACGATGGCGCACCCAATCATGATATTTATTTATTATTATTATTATTATTTATATTGCTTACATGGTGAAACTTATCGATATAGAGTCCAAATAATTTGCCAACTTGTTCAGCTGCAGGATTTTGGTTGATTGTGGTATTTCTACTATCATTTGTTTGGGGGTAAAGAATCCTTCATTAATTTGAAGATAATAAATTATGACATCGTGTGCAAGCTGAACAAGTAAAGCAAGTAAGAATGTATAGGTGAATAGGGAACGAGGTTCAAGTCGAACTAAATGTGGTAAAGAAAATGAATCCAAGCGACTTGTTTGCCATATTCGAATAATCATCCTAATAAAAAATGGTTGAGGTTAATATATATTTATAATTTATAAATAACTAAAAAAAATATATTTAAAACAACTTACCAAGTTAAAACAAATGGAATATAACATATTCTTGCTGTTGTGATAAATAAAATGTTATATATATATCTCTTTTCAGAAAGAAAAAAAGGGATCAAAGGAGACTTATTTTAATTACCAAGATAACTAGTGTCGCAGAAAATTACCATCTTTTCTTTCAATAAGACATGAAAATAATTAAGGGATTGACTTTTTCGTGATAATTTTATTAAAAAAAAATCACTACGAAAGTTTAATAAAAAAATGTGAACCAGTTACTTTTTTTTTTCTTATCCTTGGACTGAAAAGGTTTAAAAACGAATATCAACGTCGCAAAAAAACGGCGAATTAAGAAAATATAAAGTATAACAGTTTTTATATAAGAGAGAAAAAAAAAAGTAGGTCATTATCATAACAAACTATTTAAAAAAAAAGGGAGATATATATAAATTTTTTACTACTTCCTAAATAGACCTGAATGTTGCATACGAACCAGAAGTTGCACTAACACAAAAACAAACAATTTTTTTTTATTTAAAAATATTTCTTAATTTGTAAATGAATTAAGTTTTATTGGGTAAAATTGAATAAGAAATCCTAATTCAATTTATCAATCATGAAATCCTGAAACCATACCATCCTTTTAAATTACTTATAAATATATGATTAGTTTTCTATTTAAAGTCAAAATTTAAATTATAAACTATGTTAAACTGGAAATCTAGGGAAAATTTTGAAACACAATGATTGTCAAACAATCGTTGAAGAAACCACAACATAATATATTTTCTTTATTACACAGTATTTATATTTTCATATGCATACACGGCTGATAAGGGCTTTTTTGCCGTTATCCTCCTAATTATATACATGTCAACGCCGAACTACAATAAAACTAACTTATTTAAGAAAGGATTGAAACAAAAATTTCAACTAAACCTATTTGACTTCACCTATTGAGGAGCAGAATATCCAAGTTCGAGCTCAGGATATTGTAAAGGGATATGATCTAATTCATCGGGAAGAATCGACAAGTCCAAAGGAACAGAATCTCCCATCCATACCGCTCTATCGGAGTGATCTAAAAACTCACTTTTGGTCAAAGGATGAATAAGAATAGAATGAATTCCACGATGAAGGAGGAACCATGAATAGACTCGAGAGAAATGTTCTTTAGGACACCACACTTCATATGATCCCTAAACAAGAACGCTAATTAATTCATTTATTAAACATTTACCATGAAATTGTATAAAATAATTGAAAGTTAACGCACGATTAAATGAGGTCCTAATGGGGCGTAGTTAACCTTTGCATACGGGACGGGATGAAAAAATCCTTTTTCAATCAATTCAGATATCTTCTCACGTAACGCAAGAGCTGATGCACGATGTTTTTCATTATCCTGACGTAATAAAAAAAAAGCAATATTTTCCCTCTATTATAAAAATTCTTTGTAATGTATCGTATATAGATTAATACCTGGAAGAAATAAACATGAAAATGGAATTCTTTAATCTCTTCGGCTTCTTCTTTTAAAAGAAGAGCCCTTTGCTTTGAATTTTTTTCGTCAACCAACATTATTAAAATTTTAGAGAAAGGGCGAGAAAATTCCCACTGTCGGTTCAATCAATAAAATTGGATAAAATATATATTTGTATGTCTAATTGATGACGTAATTCTTTAGATTATTAATACATTCTAATACTCTCATGATAAGTTTTTCTCATACCCCCGTGCAGTGATTTTTAATATGGAATCATTATGATCACTTATATCGTTATACTTTTGTTATTTCTTACCTTAAAACTATTGATGATATCTTAATCACAAGGTTGGAGATGCGCTATAGTATTTGAAAAAAGGTGTTTGATAGTGATATTTATTAATTAGATAATTTAAAATTAGGAAAAATTATCTTTTTTTTTAAATGAACTTACGCGGAATAAATTGTCAAAGTTCCTCAGTTAAAAGTTGTAAACGACTTTCTGTAAATCTGTAATTCGTCGAGTATCCTAAAAAGTAATAGAAAATCAGCTAAACACTTTAAATAATAACTCACCAAAGTTTCCTCCATCGGGCCACAACATCCTGTTATAATCAATTCTTATGTTGGAAATTTTCCACGGGCTGAAAAAAATTTAATAAATTATTCTCGAGCTAAAAAATTATTATTCACCGACTTACTTGAATAGAAACATATATATAATTTCTAATAAATTATTTTAATTAATTATTTTTTTTTTTTTAGTAAATGTAATAACCTCTTGCAACTTATTTTTTAAAAAAAAATCGGATGTGAACTTAATTAGGCTTAAATATGTTCAATATGTTCAAAGGATTATTGCCAAGCAAATTATATTTATTTATCAATTACCCTTATACATGTATATCCTCTGCTGTGCTTCGTTGTCTCAAACATATTCCTGGACGTTTTCTATAACAGCAGTAATATTTATATGATGATGTTTTGTAATAACACTTTTTTTTTTTTGAATGTTATTTATTAATCGATCACAAACTACCAAATCATGATCAATTTCATAAAATAATACATTGAATATTTAGATAATAACTTGGTATTGATTAAATTGATTAATTAATAGTTAATACATCTAAATGCTTAATTACCACCATGAAAATTTTAAATTTTACAGTATTGTGATTTTATAACGCTAGAAAAATCATTTATCTTCAATTGAATATTAGCTTTACTATTAAAATTAAATACCTTCTATAAATTTAGTTTACCATTTTTATTAATTCGTAATAGATTTTTTTGAATTTTAGAAGATAATATACAGTATCTTGTATAATTAAAAAATTTTTATTAATATTATTAATAGTATCAATATCAAATGATTTTATATATTAAGAATACTAATAAGGTTGCTATCTTAAACTACTAAAAACTGTTTTAAACTTTAAAACTTTGTTTTGTATTTTCAATTAAAAATTAATTATAATAAAAAGAAATTTTTGAATTTAAACTTTTGAATAACTATATAAAAAATTCTTTATATTTTATTATATTCTTTTATTTTGAGATATTTTGCACCTGATATGTTTTTTCTAACAATAATCAATGAAGTTATATTAGAAAATAATATAATGTATTTAATATATTTCCAACATTAAATTTTAAAATATATAAATAATTCAATGTTTAAATAAAAGAATTGTATCTATATAAAAAAACAAAATTTTTCTTTAAAAACTTTTTTTAACAAAAGAATATAACTATCACTAGAAATAATTAATTATCGATACTTCTATTAATATGCTTTCCAATATAGATATATTTAATAATGAAAGAAATGACTATTAATATAGAAAATAAAAAAGTTATTGAAGATGATAAAATAAGTTATTAAGCTTAAACTGCTCATCATTAAGTTAACAAAGATTATTTGCTAAAGGAGTTTAAGTATATCTAAACTATGAAAGAAATAAAAATGAATAATTAAATTAAAGGATCAGATCTTTAACAATATAGATTTAAAGAATAATAAATAATTTTAACAAGTAAAGATAAGTTTTAGAGATAAATATTATTGATTTATTAGAGAATTGTAATGATTCTGCCATTTAGCAGGTCAAAGGTACAGAGTATTTATATAAAATAAAATAAATAGTAAATTAAATATGATAAATATAATAAATATAACTAATCTATCTAAACTAATAAATATAATACATAAATATAATAAATCTTGTAAATCAGTCAAATATAACCAATTTGTCATATTGATCAGATTGGCCAATCAATTCAAATCATATGATTAGCTATAATTAATTAGTGTAGCATAGATCACGTCTTCAAAGTAAAGATAATATAAAACTCAAAGGTGATTATTAAAGAATATTAATAGAATTTAATGAAAGTAATGAAGATGATAATAGTAAAAAAATAAATGAAAAGAAATAAAGATATTATTATCTTACAATATTAATAACTGAAAATTAGTATTAATGTAAGATTAACAAAGAATTTAACTTTAAGTTTTTATATAATAAGAGTTTATAGAGAGCTCTAAAGGTTTATACAGTCAGAATATAATTGATAAAATAAAGTATATATATGAGTTAAATAATTAGAATAATTAGATTTTATTAAAAAAAAATTGTTACAAGTATATTTGTTAACATACAAATGTGTTTAGTAATTATATTGTTATTGATAAAACTAATGTAAATTCTCTCTACTAAAGATACATTAATTCATTATTGTTAATAAAATTCTAAAGCTATCTAATTTATAAGAAATTTGATAATATAAAAATAATAAATATAAAAATAAATAATAAAACAAATTTTGTCATATTGTTATCTTACGATACTAATAACTGAAAATTAGTATTGACATAAGATTAACAAAGGATTTAGCTTTAAGACTTTACAATATAATTTACGAAGAGCTTCTGAAGGTTTATCAATCAAATTTATTGTTAGAGACAAAGGTGATTATAGGTAAACAATAGAGTTTTATTAAATAGAATAATTATTACAAGTGTATTTGTTAGCATACAAATGTATTTAGTATTTATCTTGTTG